TTTACTCGTGAGGAGTAAGAGACTGTACAGTTACAATCTCCTACAGTTACAATCTCCAAACCACTCTGCCAGCCTTAAAGTTCTCCTCCCAATTTATTAGAATCAGGCATTCCCTAGTTACATATCTCAGAGCTGCACTAAGGGAGGAGGGAAAAGGCTACAGCTCTCAGATAACATAAAAGTAACAATTCATTTCTGCTAGACATCAGACTTCAGTCAAGGTTGAGCTGTAGCAGCTGCTGTGTTGGACATCAGAGGTCAGAAGTTTCAATGCTGCCAGTAAGTCAACCACAACTTCCTTAAAAGCAAGCAATAAAAGGTGCTTATAATTGCATACACACAGCATACAGCTTTATGCATTATAACATTGAACAGATACATTTCTGTACAATTACTCTAACAGAATCCATAAAAAGGAAAGACCACAGTGGTACAAACAAGTGCTGCTCCAAATACATGTTATAGAAACTCAGGAGAGGAAGGGCTCCTGAAACTGTTGAATGTTTGACTTGGTAAATAACATAATAAACTATGCAAAATGATCCCTATTATGTTAGTATAAAACTCAAAGCAAAAAAAAAAATCACTTTTAATACCCACTTAATAATCTATTCTATTGATTGATCTATTTAAAAAACATAATCGAGTACTAAAACAAAGTAATAGCTCATATTAATTGGGTTTCCAGGATTTAATTCAAGATATTGTTTCCTCATTTCTACAAAGAGCTTCAGAAAGGCTTTCCAAAAACGTTCCTTAATTTTGATCCAAAAAGTTTTCTTTAACATTCTCCAAAGAGATGAGTTGGATGTTTTGCAAAAAAAAGACTCCAAAAAACAAAGAAACAGCTCATGTTAATATCTTTCATTTCCTGTTGTTTCAGGCAACTGTTCAACTTGTGGTTTAACAGAAGGAAACATTATTTGCTCACTTCTACATAGAGCTTCCCAGCTGTTTGTTATTTTCAGCTTAACTTTACTTGAACTTCATATCAGCATTATTTCTAAAACGTTCTCCTCAGTAACAGTTAAGACTCTCGTATAATTTGTCTTAATTGGTTTTAAATGTTAATAGCTTGAAATGAGGGCAGAATATTTAACTTACTGAGTGAACACGTTCCAAAATAATTAAAGTAATTCCTGAAATCCATGTGTTACAGAATGATGTGATGAGCTCTGGGTCTTTTCAAGGGGGAGGAGTTGATGCAAAATTAGTTCTGCTGCTACCTTTACTTATCTGAGAGACTTAAAGACCTGCAGTAAATCAAAGACAAACACACAGGAGATTATTCAGAGACACATGGCTGCTACAATGATCAGACCTCATGAGGTTTTGATTGCTTTTCTACTCCTAATAGGGAATTGGACTGGTAAGAACAACTGATTCTTTAATAAATGTTTAAGGAAAAAGAGAACTAAATAAACTACTAATCTGTTTATCTGCAGGTACAGATGGTCAAACGCTGACTGAGTCTCAACCAGTGGTTAAAAGACCTGGAGAATCTCACAGACTGACCTGCAAATATTCTGGCTTTAGTAGCACTCCTCATGTAGCTTGGATCAGACAGGCGACTGGTAAAGGACTGGAATGGATTGCCTGGATCCGCGATGATAGTGCCTACATCTACTACTCTGATTCCGTCAGAAACCGTTTCACCATCTCCAGAGAGAACAGCAGAAATGAGGTTTATCTGCAGATGAACAGTCTGACAGCTGGAGATTCTGCTGTTTATTACTGTGTTTGGACTCCCACACTGGAAAACAAAAGAGCGAAATCATCCACATTTTAAAGAATATATTTAAACTAGGCAATTAATCAATAGTTTATATTAATAGAATCACATAGTCATTTCGACCTTGTTATGTGATCTAAACTCAGACAAATTGTCCTGTCAGAAACCCTGACTGGCAAAGAAGCCTTTGGAACTCGGGTTGAAAACTGGACAAACAAAAGTCATTATTTTTGTTCTTATTTAAATGACGTATAATCAGTGTTGGGCAAGCTACTTGTCCAGTGTAGTGAGCTAAGCTATCAGTTACTCAACAATAAATTAAGCTTCACTACACAAAAGCTACCACCTAAAGAATTACAGCAAGCTAAGTTACACTAATGTGTTAACAGTAGCCTAACTACATCAGAAGCTACTTAACGTTGTACCACCCTAATATCAATTCAAAATGAGTCTGATACACTGGTTAAAACATTTATTAAAGATCAGCCAATGACATAACACAGTGTAAACATTGCTTTATGATCAGCATAATAAAAAAAAACAAAAGTTATTACTAGTAGACAAAAAAATAAACAATCTGCTGTTATTAGAACCAAATTAAAGGTACTGTGTAGTGTTCTACACATCGAGATATGGCTATGAGGTTACATTCAATGGACATCTCTAGGGAAAACAAAACCCTACAAAAGGCATCTTCTTTCTTTAGGGTCTCCCTTAGAGAAAACTTCTTCAGACCTCAATTAAACAGTCGATTCAAGGAACAAATGAAACTGTTTACAAAAGAAGGTGAAAAAATAAAGAAGCTAATTAAGAGATATATATACATTTATGTCTCACTGTATAATTTAATTTCTACCTACATATTTATTCATTGTATTTTGGGGGGTAATTAATTGAATGCTTATTTATTTATTGAGCATGTATTTATTTATGTACCGGTATTTATTTTTATATATGGGAGAGCTGTTCCTCCATACCTAAATAATCTTATCTGTGCAAATAAGCCTTAAAACAGATTTATGTAAACATCCTGTCTGGTAAATTAGGCCATGAAAATACAATATCTAAGTTTGGCTACTGCTTTCTAATGAGAATATCTTAGTGGCACTCATCAGATTGAACTATCTGGAAATTAAAGGCGCCAATAAAGTTAAAGCTGACATATTTTTCTCATTTTTATTTAAAAAAATTGACTGCAGTTGACTGTTTTAATGAGTGTTTGGCTATGTAAAACAAATGACTAGTCTTGGCCACATGAGCCCTCTATGGCCAAGAACCGGAATTTGAACACGTACTTTTTATCAGAGGATTCAACAAGTTTCAAAATCTCTGAAGATAAGGCGCTCTGCTCCTGTCTTCTCCTCCATCCTGTGTGTCTGCGTGTGTCATTCTTTGAGTTCCACTGCAGTACGCATGCGCATGTTTCGTAGATACAGACAGGAGAGGCAGAATAGAGGCTCATGCGTGAATGTCCAACGAATAACTCCGATTGTTGTTTCAAAAATAGAAAACCTGCTTTCATTACTTAGTTATGCCCTGGATTTTGTAGCGTTTGTGGACGTTACATCGCTACTTGATAAAAATAATAACGTCACTACAGGAAAGTTACTTGATAAATAAAGAAGCAACGCTACGTTCAAGCTACTGGAACTAATAGCTTCGCTACATGTAGCGGCGCTACTGCCCATCACTGCATATAATATTCTACATTTATGCATACTGTCCCTTCATATAGCTGACGGAAAAATAAATAAATGCAAATATGCTAAATGATTCTTTATCATTATGCAAATAAATTTATCTAAATATGAAGACTTGATGGGAAGCTGTGAGCTGCAAAAGAAGAGAAGCTATGATCATCTTAAACAACACAATATTTTCTGTAGCTCTGCAGCTGCTAAATCCTAGCTCATTGATTAACCTTTTCCATATTTATCAGAATGTCCGAATGCATATCATGGTATGATTTATAAAATATGTCATAGTTTTACTCTGAAAGTAGAGAAATAAAACAAAGAATGAAAAGGAAGACATTCTTTGTTAGAATGAAGCATCTCCATGAGCTTCTTAAACAGAAAAAAACAAAGGAAGATCCAATCAGAGAATTATTTTTGTAAACTTCTATACAATGTTTTTAATTTTCTGAGAAGGTAGCCTTCAAACAATTTAACAAGAGAGAAACATTGGTCCAGAAACATGTTAAAAATGTGTATTACAATGTGAACCGTTAATTCCTTTAGTACATCTGCTTTTACCTTTTAAGTGGAGGACAAAGGATTTTACTTGTTTTTATTTGAGCACCTTCTGTGAAGCATCACACACAACTTTTGTCTTTTTAAGAAAAAAAATGAATCACAATTCCATTGTCGACACTTTGAAAGAACACAGAATCATCCCATTCGTTTGAGGAGCTATATCTAGAAAGGGATCATGGATTGTTATTATTCAAAGCTTTTGAAGTTGGTTGAAATAAGGTTCAAGCAAGTAAAAATGATGAACACAGTTGCTCTTTTGGTTCTCCTGTTTAAAATAATAATCAATTTTTTGATTCCCTGAAATGGATCAGAGTTGACTGGTCTGTTCTGTAAGAAGTAACCCTGTTCATAGAGATCTGTAGCAGGTCAGTGTGTCTGAGACCATCTATTAATCCATCAATCTCTATACCTGATTGACGTTGCTTCATTGCATAGGGCTGGTGCAGATCTCCAGCTGTCTTTGGAAGGAGGATGGGGAACATTTTGGGCTTGTTGCTGGTGCCAGTTGAGAGAGAGCCATGCAGGACAAACAACAATGCACACATATCTATGCATACGGGCAATCTAGAGACAAACTCTTCTTTGTTGACTGTAGTGGAAAACTGAAGCATTCAGAACAACAAGGAGAAGATGCAAACTCCACTCAGAAACATCTCCAAAATTTGAATCAAATATCTTGCTGTAATATAACAGTGCTGTTAATTTCCCCTTAATGCATCATCTAACTGTGACATTATAAACTAAAGGAAGAGAAATCTAGGATAAACCAAAATTATAAATGCTACAGTACATATTGTTCACCTCTATAAAACATCAGATGCTAAGTGATATTTTTAGTTATATCTTTTTTCCAAGTTGTTTTATTAAATTTCATAAACCTATTATTTCTTGCACAGTCTGATGTAAATAGCAGAACACTGATTGGCCATTTTTCTATTATGCAAATTTAGTTTTCATATAGTTGCCTTAGTGCTGTCAGCTGAAACTCCCTTCAGATCATCTTAAACACCATCATGTTCTCTGTAGCTCTGCTGCTGCTGCTGGTTGGTTCCTGTGAGTCTGAATGAGGCAGAAATAATTAGAGCAAGGTTCACACAACTGACTGATCAATGTTTAAGTATTTTGATTATGAAACCAACATTTTTTTCTCCACAGGTGTGAAATGTGAACATTTGAATCAACCAACCTCTGTGACTCTGCAGCCAGGTCAACGTCTGACCATCAGATGTCAGGTCTCTTATTCTCTGAACAGCTACTGGACAGCTTGGATCAGACAGGCTGCTGGGAAAGGGCTGGAATGGATTGGATGGAAACTTGGTGGTGGAGCTTCAAACTACAAAGATTCATTGAAGAATAAATTCAGTATTGATGTAGACACTTCCAGTAGCACAGTGACTCTGAATGGAGAGAATATGCAGCCTGAAGACTCTGCTGTGTATTACTGTGCCAGAGAACCACAGTGACACAAACAAGCAGCAGAGCTGAACAAAAACCTCTGACAGCCTGAACAGATTATATCAGTCCACCAGAGGAGGAGCTCTACAACCATTTGTTCACACTTTAAATTAGTAAACTAGAGTAAGAGGTAGAATCTGATAGTTTCTGGTAATATTAGCTTTAAACAAAGATCTCATTGAGCATTTCTTTAGGCTTTAGTACATGTGAGAACTTTTCAGCAGAATGTATATATAAGCTTTAAAACGTATCCTTTTTACAAGCAAAAATGTCCATCATTTTCTGTTTCTTGAAGTTTTTATTTAATCTATTATGAAAAACAAATCATACAGGAGGTGAAGATGTTTCTAAGTCCACTTAGAATCTGTTCTGCGCCCGATGGTTTTCAATTTTGCATGGCTCTCCATCTGTCATTTAACAGACACATTTCTAAATTGCAATATCAACATCATCTGAACAACATTATCTATGACTTTTCTACCTTTAATGTAAAGTTTATGATGTATAATCAAAAATGTAAAACTAAATAGAATTATAAGTTTAAAAATTGGCTGCCTACTGTACTCTTCCTGCAATAATATGCTCAAAAACATTTTTAATTTTATTGCAGTAGTCTTCGTAAAAAAACAACAAAAAAAAGAAATCTATGAACAGGCAAGAACTTTCTACCATTCAGAAATTTGCCAAATCTATCAGACTGTTTCTGCAGTTTCTTTAGTCTATCTGTTAATCTTTAGGTTACCTTACTGACAAACTTCCTTTTGGTGTTAAGCTTATTTCTAGTTGTTGGTTGAACACATTATCTTATTGATACTTTAAGATAAATATTATAATATAAAATTATTATGATATATATTATAATAGGTATTTCCTATCCATTTGAACCTTAACCATGTTATTCAACTCAGTATTTTTGATAATTCAAGTTCTCCAATCTTGATGGCAGGTATGTTCATAAGAAGAATCTATCTATGTATGTTTGTATTTATGCATGTCTGTCTGTCCATCAATGAATTGATTTATTATTTCAGACTGTTAACAAGCATTCCTGCAGTATCAATATTTGTAAAGATGTTTAATCTCTCATCCATCAACTTAAACACCAATGTTTATACCACATTCCGAGTTCTATTCAAGTTTAATATTTCTACTAAAATCAAATATCTTTTTGCACTTTTTCACACCTGAACGTTTATTTTTATTCTTTCTTTCTACACCTTTACAGGAAGTTATTAACTTAATAAGCCCTGGTTCTTCCTTGTTAATCCCTGTACATTGCGAACATGTGCAACATTGTACATATGGTCAGCTTTAGGATGTTATATGTAGCTTTAAGACGAGAAACCAGAATGAAAAATTGTGCTTTATATTAAGAGTTATATATTTTGATAATGAACATTTTAACACTAATGTGTTTACATAAAGATGAAAGAAAGAAAAACTGTGTTAAGAAATATCTAAACTAAAATAGATATGCTTTAAATTTAATTCTGACTTCAGAAAGTTTACCTCAAACAAATTGAAACTGATTAAAAATCATGCAGCATAAGAGACTTGATGACCTTTAGAGCATTGTTTGGAAAGAAGCTTCATTTACATCTAAAAAAAATAAATAAATGATACTCCTCAATCTTATACAATTCATATTGAGCAAGTTCATGTTTTAATTGGTAAAATTAAAACAAAAATTATTCAAGGTTTCTTCTTGACAGTCAGTTTTCCAGGCCTTTTTTCAAGATTTGATTTCTTCACTATTTTATTCATTTGAAGCATTATGTGTATATATATATATATATATATATGTATATATATATATATATATATATATATATATATATATATATATATATATATATATATATATATATACCGTATATATATATATATATATGTATATATATACATATATATAAAGGACTGTTGTTGTTCCTTGTGTGCAAATAAGACACCTACCCTTCAAAAGAACATTTAGAGGGCTTAAAAAATAGAAACAGCTTCATATATATTTCCTATTTTTTTCAAACTTTTGTTCAACATGTTGTTCAACTAAATAAATTATTGTGTACCAGCTTCTACAGAGAGTTTGACAATTAATATAACTTTCTGAGTTGCTTTATGTGCAATAATGATTGTAAAGAAAAAGAAAAAAGGATCACAGGCCTTGTTTTATAGCCTCCTTGGCTTTATATTAACAATATTTCTAAAGTGTTCTCCTGCTTAGTACAAACACTCATTGTTTTTCAATCTTTGTATAGTTAATATGTTATGTTGAAATAATTAAACAATATCCTGAAATCAAATGTGTACAGAAAAAACAAGATTAATTCTGTTTCGTTTCCAGAGGGAGGAGTTGATGCAAAACTTCTGCTGTTTCTATCTTTCCATGTCTGACAGAGATAAAGACCTACAGTAAATCAGACACAGACTGCAGACTGAGCAGAGACACATGGCTGCTACAATGATCAGACAGGTTCTGATTGCTTTTCTCATCCTGACAGTAAACTGGACAGGTAAGAATAAACAATCCTGAGGAGCCTGTTAAGTAATAAATACAGAACAATATGGTTTAGAACATAATGGTTCTGTTTATCTGCAGGTACTGATGGTGAAACACTGACTCAGTCTGAACCAGTGGTTAAAAGACCTGGAGAATCCCACAGACTGACCTGCACATATTCTGGGCGTAGTGGCATTCCTCACATAGATTGGATCAGACAAGCAGCGGGAAAAGGACTGGAATGGATCGCTTATATCAGCAGTGGCAGTAGCTACATCTACTACTCTGACTCAGTCAGAAACCGTTTCACCATCTCCAGAGAGAACAGCAGAAATCAGGTTTATCTGCAGATGAACAGTCTGACAGCTGGAGATTCTGCTGTTTATTACTGTGCTCGAGAGGCACAGTGACACAGAGAGCAGGAAAGCTGTACAAAAACTCCTCAGAGCATAAACAGTTTTAATAGTAAGCTAACACTAGGGGAGCCCTATGACAACAAACACATTTAGATGGAGAAGTCTCTGATGTTCTTAGTGCATTCAGAGAGTTAACATTAAATAATCAATTTCCAGAAAGTTTAAGGCTTAAAGTCTTTTAATATGTTTTAAAACCATTGAGTAGTTTAAAATGTACCTCTCAGAAAGAGCTGTGTGGAAAAGGATTTCCCCGATTAGAAAAATGCCATTTTGTCACAAGTCACTACCATTGAAACTAGTCACCTCACATAAAAGACAGGTCCTGCAGATTTTGAATAAAAAGGATAAAGATCTTAATACAGGGTTTCATGTACATGTGGATGACTACGATCATGGCATTTCTGTGACTTCAGGCACTCTGGCATGTTTTGGGGTGCAGGAAAGTTGGATATCTGATTTGAGCATGTCAAAAAAATAATAATACAGAGCAACAACGAGACATGGGCAGTGAAAAGATAGCAAAATTAACTGAAGTTAAAGATAAAACGAGCATCAAGTCAGATAAAAACTGAAATTCTAAAGTCCTGCCTTCCTTCGCCTGCTTGGATATTAACTTATTTTAGTTCTCCAGTCTTCAAGGCTTCAGCATCTGGAACTCTTTGGACAACGTTCTTCCTCTGGGCATGGACTGAACTTTAAGATCAGAGATTCCTGCCTTAGACGCCCCAGCTGCCATATCGCCAATCCATCTTTTCTAAATAAATGCTTTTTGAGTAATCTTACTTTCTGTATTGCCATCCCACAGCTGGCTTACAGGGCTTCCTAAACTCCCTGGCAGTTTAAAATGGAAAAGAGGAGGCTTGAAATACCCTGGGGGTGTACTTGAGGTGATGAGGATACAGAGTGTTGGAGTAAGTGGAGGGGAGGTTAGGGAAATTGAAATGGTTGTTGCTACAAACATCCTACAGAAGAAGAGTGATTATTATAATAGTAATGAGTCATATAATAATTCAACTGCTTCTTTATGATGGCATAAATTGGCACGTTTGGAACCCCCTTCTGATCTACTCTCAAGAATTAAATCTTATGTGGTAGTTTTTTTGGGATAAACAACATTGGGTATCCCAGGCTGTGCTTGTCTAGCCTAAAGAGGAAGGCGGACAAGGACTGGTTCATCTAGAGAGAACTGCAGCTTTTAGATGACAGTTTATTAAGAAATACCTGCTCGGAAGAGAGTAAGATGTTTTCTGGAAACCAATAACAAGCATCATATTAAGAAGAGTGGGAGGTTTTTGCTTAGATGTTTCTTTGTTTTTACTAAATTGTAAAGTGATTTGTTCCAATGACTTCACAATGATTTATAAAAGAAAAGAATGGAAGTGACTTTGTTTTGGCTTTTAGAAGAATCTTTTTTTTTCGGAGCACAGTTAGATATAGAGGATGGAGCTGGAGTTAGTTTGTCAAGAATATTGATTGATAAAAATGTTCCAAAGTTCAAACAAATTGTTGGGGTGGTTGGACCAACACTTCAAAACACAGAAAAAACAGCTTCTTTGATGGCGCTAAAATCAAATCGCACCATGCAGGCTGCTCTGGAATTCTGGTTTGAAAGTTTAGCTTCAGAAGAAAAGAATATGTTAGTGGATTATCCATTTCCAGAAATGGGTTTGAACATAGACTTTACAGGAGCAATGGGTCTTTTATTGCATACCAAGGACTTTTTGTATGTTGACTGGAAAATGACTTTATAAAATGTCTGATGAAGGGCTAAATGAAAGACTGTCGGAAGTGACAGAACTGATACAGTTTGGAGAGATAGGTTAAGGGTAAAACCAGAAGCCTATATGGAGGGTCTTCTACAAACCTGCTCTAAGTAAGACGGTAGGAGATCTACCATGGAGGAACTACCATGGGGCATTGAGTGGATATAGGTTTCTGTCTAAATGTAAGAAAAATGCAACTGAACTTTGTCCCTTTTGTCAAAAAATAGAAATTCCTTCTCATATGTTTCTTGAATGCAAACAAATTGTTCCATAGTTTGAAATGTTTGGAAATATTTTCAGAAAATGTGGAGCTGTTTGGTCTAAAGTTTCTTTATTTTTGGTGATGGCTACACCAAGAAAAGATTCCAATAGGTAGAAATTGCTGAAGTTTTTGGTAGGTCAGGCAATTTTTTTTATATTAGCAGACGGAATATGATTAACAAAGTTGTAGAGGACAAGGTTGTCAAATTGTTTATTTTGATGGTTAAAAATAGAGTAAGATATGAGTTTCTCTTTTTAATGATGAATAATCTTTTAGTTTTTTTCTCAGTGGTGCTTCAAAGATATTGTGTGCTCTTTGGTTGATGGACAATTAATATATAACTCTGCATACATGTAATATGCAAACAGATGATGATTATGAATTGTTCACCATGAAATAAATTAGTGTTTAAAATCAAATCATTCTTTCATTCTTTCTCGCTTTCTGTCTCTTGACCAGTTGTTGTAACAGCAAATGGGAAATACTAAATTTTTACATGTTTGATATAGATGTGCAGATGAGCAGTGAATCAGTGAGAGATACTGTAGGAACAGAGACATTGGCTTCTAGTATGATCAGATTTAGTTCTCCTTTCATTTATCACCATCTACATAAACTAGAGGGGTAAAAAAGGATCTTTTTATTCAAAATCCTGATTGATGAACGCAAATTGTGAAAATAATCAACTGCAGCTACTGAAAACATTATTTTGTTTCTCCTTAACATTATAGGTCTGCCATGTCTTCTGTCCGTCTGTAATGAATCTCTTTACAAATATCTGCTGCTTCTTATGTGGGGCATTCAGATCATTCTAGCAGTATAGTTGCACTATTTTCACTGTGCTTTATCTCAGATGACACTTTAAGCAGAGCAGAGAAGGTAGATACTTTGTTGCTTAGACTAAGAATGTGGATTAACTTTTTGTTCAACAAAATTATGCATATTCCACTTTATACAGCATTTAAAAACTTAAATTTTTTGAACTAGAAAAACCTTGTGAAAGCTGCAACAAACAAAGATGTATTTGAAACTCCAGAATTGGGCAATAATTGTTTAAAATGGTAAAACTTCTTCAGGAACATTTTTATCCCACTATTGGTAAGGGGAAATATAAATAAATAAATAAATATGTATCCTTAGGAATAAGACTCTCTTATAAATCAGATTACCCAAAATATATGTATAAATTCTTCCTTTCCATTAATATGAACATAAAAAAAAATTCTTTTTACAATCTTGTGCTTCTGGTAGGGCTGGTTTATGCAAATCAGAAAAGTCTGCTTTAAAAATGTTGATCTGATGCTGTCATCACAAGGAGAGAAACTCCCATCAGATCACCTTCCACACCAACATGTTCTCTGTAGCTCTGCTGCTCCTGCTGGCTGCTGGATCCTGTGAGTCTAAACGAGTCAGAAATATTTACAGTAGAATCACTCCAGATTGTCCTTGTACTGTTCTCACTCTGATGTCCATTTCTGTTTCTATAGATGTGAAATCTGAACAGCTGACACAGCCAGCTTCTTTAACTCTGCAGCCAGGTCAGCATCTGTCCATAGACTGCCAGGTTTCTTATTCTCTTAGCGGCTTCCCAACAGCTTGGATCAGACAACCTTCAGGGAAAGGACTGGAATGGATCGGCAGAGCTGGAGAAGGATGGAGCACATACTATAAAGATTCACTGAAGAACAAGTTCAGCATCAGCTTTGTCACTTCTAGTAAAACAGTGACTCTGAAAGGACAGAATATGCAGCCTGAAGACTCTGCTGTCTATTACTGTGCCAGAGAGAGACACAGTGACACAAACAAGCAGCAGAGCTGTACAAAAACCTAAACCTGAGTGTATTATAATCCATCAACTACAGGTGGTGCTATTAGGCCACAAATTAATTTAAAGTTTTATAAGGGACATTATTGCAATTTCACATTCTCTGTGTATATTTTAAAGAAACATTACAATGAAGTCATAAAACTTGGAATCAGGTTAATTTGTAATATTTAATGTTGACTGGTTGGCTAACTATATTAAATATAATCATATTACAAAAGAGAAAAATATAAAAGGTATAAAAGAAAAAATGTATTCTTATCAATAATTCTTTGGCAAGGGAGCTGCCATGTTGCAGTATTCTGTGTGTCAGTGTGCCCTAGTTAATATAGCAACTTTAATAATCTATTCACAATAAAAAAACAAAAACAACAACAATTTAACTGAGGTTGTTAAACAAAGCATTAGCACATATAAATTAGGTTTCTTTGAGTCTAAAAAGTAGTCAATTTTGACAAAACTGACCTGAAATTTCAGAAATATTACAAACCTAAATTCACAAGGTTTAAAAAAATATAGAAACAAAATATTTATAATTTCCTGTATTTTTAATACGGGTTTAACAGAGGAAATAAAGAGCTTCTCAGCTGGTTTGTTATTTTAATCTAACAGATGTCTGAGTTGCTTTACGTGACCAAATACTCCTGAATCCAAATAATGGATTATCTACCTTATCTTATCGCCACCCTAAATTCATAACAGCAGAGTTTCTAAAGCCTCCGCCTCCGACACAGTTTGGATTTGTCCTGATTAGTTTTAAATTTTTACAGCTTGGAATGAAAGTAGAATATGTATCTTGAAGCATTGTCATGTTCCAAAATGATAAAAAAAATAATTCCTCAAATCAAATGTTAACAGAATGATGAGTCTCTGTATGTGTCTTTCCAAGAGGGAGGAGTATATGCAAAATGTGTTCTACTTCTACCTTCACATGTCTGAGGGAGTTAAAGAGTTCAGACCTGCTGTTAATCAGAGTCTAAGACACAGTAAACTGAGCAGAGATACATGGCTGCTACAATGATGATTCCTCATGAGGTCCTGGTTGCTTTTCTCATCCTGACACTTAACTTGACAGGTAAGAATGGAACTCTTTAAAGAAAAAACAAAACAAAAAACAATATAGTTTAGAACCTAATAATAAGTTTATCTACAGGTACCGATGGTGAAACACTGACTGAGTCTGAACCAGTGCTTAAAAGACCTGGAGAATCTCACAGACTGACCTGCACATATTCTGGGTTTAGTAGCGATCCTAGCATGGCTTGGATCAGACAGGCAGCTGGGAAAGGACTGGAATGGATTGCTTGGATCTACTACAACAGTGCCTACCTTTCCCACTCTGACTCAGTCAAAAACCGTTTCACCATCTCCAGAGACAACAGCAGAAATCAGGTTTATCTGCAGATGAACAGTCTGACAGCTGGAGATTCCGCTGTTTATTTCTGTGTTCGAGAGGCACAGTGACACAGAAAGCAGAAACACTGTACAAAAACTCCTTCGTGCATAAATACTTTCAACAAAAAGACACCACCGGGGAAGCCCTAACATCTTTTATCACAAGAGAAACATGATGATAAACAGAAAGCCAATTCAGAATATAGAAACACTACTCAGAAGCTGAAAAAAGATTTTTGTAAAATCCCATAGGGGGCGGCCAAAGACTGCTAATTACTTTAGTATGAAAAGGCCAGTCTAGTTCACATATATCTGATACAGTATACAGTAAAAAATGGAACTTCATATAATATTAAAAAAAAGACTTGGTATTATTCAAATAATATTTTTTTTATATTTGCTTGGTAAAGTCAGCTACAGAAGATGACAAACTTATATCAGATCAGCTTTAACATCAGCATCGGGGCTTTGGTGCTCTGCTGCTGCTGGATCCTGTGAGCGTTACTGATACAAAAAAAATTATAGTAAGAATGACTTTCTTCTGGAAGAGATAGGTTTCTACTGGACAAATGGAAGAAACTTAAAGAAAGGTTTTTTTTTTTCTTTTCTTCCAGAGGAAACTTGAAGAAAGTCCTGGTAAAGTCCTGGTAATAGATGATATCTTGGAGAACCTTGATAGTTCCATTGAAAAGTCAACTCACTATATCCGCCAGGCTACATAAGAAGAAATCTTTATATGAATACACACAGTGACTCAAATCAAGAATTTATATAATGCGACAGGTCTCAAAATTGAAAAGTAACAACCACGTTGAAACACTGCATTTACACATACAGTACAGAACATCAGCAGTATATTACATCGAAACACAGTCCAGTTGTCAAGCTCATTCTTGTCACATAGGGTTCTGAAACAGAATACAAGTTTTGAAGCCTTTGCCACTCCAAGATTATTAAACTTCTGCTATTCATGTCCTGGAATTACCCTAGTTTATATATATTAAACCCCATGTCATGATCTTGGTGCTAATGACGGGCTTAATTGTTATTCAATTCAGTTGTCTATCTCTGCCCAGTTTCTCATCACAGTTAAACTTTGTCACCTGCTCCAGTCTCTATTTAACCTGCCTGCTCCCAGTCATCGGTGCCAGATGATTCAAGCTAGATAGTTAGAGAGAGTTCTCTAGCGTACCTGATTGCATTCGTATTTCCTGATCCTGACCCATTCTGCCTTTGGACCTCTGAGGATCTGTTTCCTGATACCGACCTGGAGTTCTCTTTGGTACCTCTTCAGATCTCTGCTCTTCTGGCTTTGACTCCTGTGAACCTCTTTGACCCCAGCTTTGTCTTCGCAGTCTGGATTGTCCTGCCTTCCTTCATGTGCTTGGATCTGTTCTTTATCCAGTTCTGCAGTCTTCAAGTCTTAAGCGTCTGGGACTCTTTGGGCATTGTTCACTGAGTAGTGTTGGCAGTCATTCGGCTGGAATTCATCTCTTCCGCTGGGCATGGACTGAATGGTGCCATAAATGTCCCTGCATTTACTGCAGATCCAATGTTTTAAAATAAACACTTTTGAGAAATAAGTCTGTCTGTCTACCTTGAGTTCTGGATCCTCTGTTCTGAGCTTTGACACCCCAATTCAAGGTTATTACTGGATTTGGCCTGCTTAAGGCAAAATATACACCGAAATGAACATGACTTTCCAGTAAATTTGACCTTCCAAGTTTCATCTAGAAGAAACTGGAAGAAACTGTTCTCTGGAACTGGAAACTTTTCCAGCTGGAAAAAAAAAACAAGGAACAATCCTCGAAAATCTGGAAGCATAGCATGATTACAGATACCTCATTATTGTTAACAATATTGTTTTAATGTGTTTTATCCAATGTAAAGTGTAAAGTGTGAACAGAAAAAAGCAGCCAGCCGCTGTAAACGGGTGATTAGCTGAACTTCTAACCACAAAATAACAGGTTCTTTATAATTAGGGTAGCAACCGTGCAGTGAAAGGAGTGGAATCGATTGGAAATAATTGCTTTTAGTACTCATTTTACAGTGACTAACCAAAAAACAATTTCAGTATTGACTTAGACCATTCCAGGGACGTAGTGACTTTGAAAAGACAGAATATGAAGCTTGGAGACTCTAAAATGTATATTGTGCAAGATACAACAACAACCTCTGTGAAAAAAGCACGAGAGCAGTGCAAAAACCCCACAAAGCATTTTTTTCCCCAAATTTTTCAAGGCACATTTAGTCATATTTGATTTATTTAACACGCTTTTGAAACACAATAAGCTTGCTTACAAAAAAGTCATAAAATGAAAGAAAAAAAAATCTGTAGACTTTTAACATTATACAGTAGGTATATATTATATATATTTACTTTTTTCTATTTTACTCTGGAGGAGTGGTCTGGTGCCCTCATATTCAAATTAAGAGGTTTTATAGTACCAATCACATGTTGTCAGTAAAGGAGAAGAGAGGAGAGGCTAACTACAGATTAACTACAACTCCAACATGTTTTCTGTTGCTCTGCTGCTGCTGCTTGCTGCTGCATCTTGTGAGTCTGACTGCAACAATGATATTTATAGTCCACACACACCGATACTTCATTGTTGTTCATAATTTACTTTTCATGTTTTGTCTCTTTAGGTGTTAAGTGTGAACAACTGACTCAGCCAGCCTCAAAGACTGTGCAACCAGGTCAAAGTTTGACCATAAACTGTCAGGTTTCTTACGATCTAAGCAGCTATGCAACAGCTTGGATCAGACAACATTCAGGGAAAGGACTGGAATGGATTGGGTATAAATATACAGGAGGTTCAAGCTATAAAGATTCCCTAAAGAACAAGTTTAGTATTGACTTAGACACTTCCGGAAAAATAGTGACTCTGAATGGACAGAATATGCAGCCTGAAGATTCTGCTGTGTATTACTGTGCCAGAGACACAGTGACACAAACAAGCAGCAGAGCTGTACAAAAACCCCTCAGAGCCTGGAGAGTTATATCAAACCACCATAGGGGGAGCTCTTGTATTAGAAATAATACGACATAAAACACAATTCATTAAATTATTATAATTAAACCAGATCAGAGTGAAAACATAAAATATACATCAAATATGATTATTTTCAATTTAGTTTATTCATATAGTGCCAATTCACATCACTTGTCATCTCATGGCACTTTACAGACACAATTCAACCAGATCACACAGTCAAATTGATTAATGTCACACAAGTAGAAATCACAAAAGTAAAAATCTATACATGGGATCAAATGCAACTGGAGCAGGTATGGAAAGCCAAACGTGCCTTATAATTCATTAATTAAAAACTGGAAGAATTACCATTTGAAAACCCCAGCAGAATCTGTATTTTATTGGTTTAGTGGTTATTTAGACAGATATAATGACAATTAAATGAAAGTAGCTAGACATGAAGGGGAATAAATTATATGTTTTAATGCTAATTATTTTTATGATGTAATTTCTGGTTTGTTTTACAAACTACTCCTGTGAGTTAGAGATTAAAATTAAATTAAGACAAACATTTTTGTGAGGTAACACACTCGGTGTATCACTCAAGCAGCACCCTATGGTCTAGGATTTCCTGTTTTTCATGATTTCTATCATCATATGGTTTTACTGAAAATTCTTGTTTCCCCCTCCACTAAAAGCTCATTAATTTCTCATTACAAATACTGCGGGATCAGATTTGAATCATTTTTTTTATTTTTTTTTTATTTACTTTACTAATCTATGTCTACAAAATTCCATTGTAATATGAGTGTTGGTAAAAAACATTAATGTATAAAATTGCCGGAAAGATATTTTGATAAAACTGAGGTGAAGCCAATGCAACATTATTGCAGACAAAGAATAACAAGATATGTAGAAATAATTAAAAAATAATAAATAATTTCTTTCCTTCACCAGTAGGAGTTAGAGCAAATAGTGATTATTCCATTTTTACATGTTTGTTGGAGAGTTAAAGTCCAAAAGTGAATCAGTGAGAGATACTGTATGAACAGATTCTCTGTCTTCTATCCTGATGAGATTTTAAGTTCTCTTTCATTTCTCAACTTCTTGGTAAATTGGAGTGGTAAAAAAATAAGGTGTTTTTACCAAAATCCAGATTGATGAACGAATAATATGCGTTCATTAATCTGGATAAAAATCAACTGCCTGTCTGCAGGTACTGATGGTCAAACACTTACAGAGAGTTAGTGGTCCAGTTAGTAAAAGGCCTGGATAATCTCAAATATTGACCTAGCCTTTGTAAAATATCAATAACTTTTCAAATTTTGATTTCAGAAAAGAATTATGGATGTAAAAAGAATTGTTTTGAAGTGTCTTTTCTCATTAAAAATACAGTTGTTGTTTTCTTTCATTTATTTCTTTTTCCTAAACATTATAGGTCCCCCATGACTACTGTCTGAATGAACCCCTTTTTAAATGGGGCTTTCAGATTATTCTGTCAGTGTGTTTGCTCAATTTTAACTGTGCTGTATCTCAGATGACCAGTTAGTTAGACCAGAAGACACAGATGGACTACTTTCTTTATTTGACTATGAATATGGAATCACTTTTTGTTTGATAGAATGAGGCAGATGCAGTTGTTACTTCATTTTTAAAATCGTAGCCTATTGAGGTATAAAACGAGAACTTTGTGAAACTGATCTTATCCTACTTAAAACAAATTAATCGAGTTTTTTTTTTTTGTCTGGTCAAAAATAAAATACATCATTAAGAATAAATCTTACTATATTCAGGATGTTTTTGGATAAAGACATAAACCAATATTTAACACCAGAATTTCTCCATTGTGGGGACAATATAAGGATTTTCTATTCTATTCAATATATATATGCATTAGTTCTCTGTTTCTATTAAAATGAATATAAAAAAGTCAATTTTTATGTTCTGCTTCTGATAGGGCCGGTTTATGCAAATCAGAAAAGTGTCTTTTAAAAATGTTGATCTGATGCTTTCAGCACAAGGAGAGAAACTCCCATCAGATCATCTTCAGCACCAACATGTTCTCTGTAGCTCTGCTGCTGCTGCTGGCTG